ACTGGGGCGTTGTCTGCCCCCCACCCCCTCCGCAGGTGCCTGCTCCACCCACAGCGTCACAACAGGAAACGTTCCGGAAACGGGCCTGCATAGCCCTGTATCACTCCACAGGCCGGGGGTGGGGCATCCCCGTTGATAGGGTGGCCAGACTGGGCATGCAGTGCCCAGAGGGCCATCACAGCCTGACGCAAATGTGGGGACCCAGGAAGATGCCCTGGCGCCTCAGAGCTGCCCCCTGGCTGCCGGCGCTGGAGCAGAGTTAGAACGGCAGGAGCTGGGGGCCTAGCAAGCCCCCACTTCTCAGAGGGGGGTGCCACAGGGGTTGTCCCCAGCGGTCCAGGACTGGGGGGCCTGTCTGAGGCCAGTGAGGCTGAGGGCTGCTGAGCAGAAGGGAGATGAGTGGAGGGCTGCAACAGAGAGAGGGGACCAGGAAGGGGACAGGGCTGCAGCTGATGGGGAGGGGGGAACACCACAGAGGAGGGGCGTGGGGCTTGGGAATGCAGATCGCATTCCAGCATGGGGGCCCCCCTGACTTGGGGCCTCCTGGTCAGTGGGAGCTGGTGAAGTGCCCTCCCTGTCCCTGGGAAAGGGGCCAGGAGCCTGGATGGAGCCTTCCGGGCCCAAGTTCCTGTCAAATCCCCATCAGGGCTCTGCACCATAGCCTCGGGTCAGGGGCTTCTCTAATTTTGGCCCACCATCCGCTTTTCAGAAAATAGAATCGCCCAGTGCCCCCCCTAGAAAGCGCCCTTCTTTAAGCAAACATGTAACGGACACCCCTCTCCAGTTTCACCCTGGGTACCCGCATTTCTTTTTTTTTCTTTTCTTTCTTTTTTTTTTTTCCTTTTTGGGTCACACCCAGCGATGCTCAGGGATTACTCCTGGCTCTGCACTCAGGAATTCCTCCTGGCGGTGCTCAGGGGACCGGATGGGATGCTGGGAATCGAACCCGGGTTGGCCGTGTGCAAGGCAAACACCCTATCCGCTGTGCTATTGCTCCAGCCCCAGAGTACCTGCATTTCTGCCCAGCAACCTCACTCTCATAAATTCTTCTAGACTCTTGGGCCCTCTGGGTTCCAGAACTGAGGGCCTTCAAGTCCAGACCTCCCTGCTTTGACCGCACCCTGCAGCATGTGTTCTTTCAGCCACTCTCTCGTGGGAATCTGGGCCCCACACCTCCCAGCGGCCACAGGGAGGGAGCTGGAGTCCCCAAGGGCCTCACGCTGTCCTGCTTCCGGACCCTTGAACTTCCTGACCCCTGAGGCAGGGATGAGGCTGGCCGGGGCAGGGCTTGGCCCGGGCCACTCAGGTTAACCTGGGAATGCGCCAACCGAGGCCGGGGAGAGTCACAGCAGTTTCCAAAACTCCCACCAAGGGTTCCAGACCACAGGTTTGTTCCCAGACTGTGCACCGTTTCGGGAGAGGCACGGCCAGTGTCTCGAAGGCTCATAAACAGGAGGTACCAGCTCCCTGAGGGAGGGAGCACTAGCTCCCAGGAGGAATCGGAGTATAGGTTGAATCTGGGTCTGCAGAGAATCTAGCCTTGCCTGGAGTGGAATGAGGGTCAAGAGCCCCGCCCTTCCCATAGATACAATCCATGCCCCGCCCCATTCTCCACCCACACGCGGTCTTTGCCCCACCCACACAGCTCAGGCCCCGCCCCCACACCTACAAGCCCCCGCCCATGTAGTCCAAGCCCTGCCCCAGCCTCATCCACACACTGTCCTTACTCCGCCCACACTTCAGGCCACGCCCACACACTTACTAATCTCAGCCCCATTCTGCACCCACACACAGTCCTTGCCCCACGGACACAGCTCAGGCCCCTCCCACACACCGGCAAAGCCCCACCCATATAGTCCAGGCCCCGCCCTACTCCCCACCCACACAACTCAGACCCCACCCCCACAACTACAAGCCCCACCCATGCAGTCCAAGCCCCGGCTACTTCCTCACCCACACTGCTCACGCCCTGCCCACACACTCACAAGACCCCGCCCAAATAGTCCAGGCCCCGCCCCATTCTCCACCCACACACTGTCTTTGTCCCACCCACACGGCTCAGGTCCCGCCCCCACACTTACAAGCCCCACCCATACAGTCCAGGCCCCGCCCTACTTCCCACCCACACTGCTCTGCTCTGGCCCCACACACTTCAAAGGCCCCATCTATATAGCGCAGGCTCTGCCCCATTCCCCAACCACACACTGTCCTTGCCCCACCCACAGCGCTCAGGCCACACCCCTCCAGAGCCTATTTCCGGGGCCCTTTTGTGGGCCCCACCCCCATGGACCCGGTGCTGGCGGGCCCTGCGCTCAGGGTAGCTGTCGGGAGCTGGATAATTGATGAAGCTGGATGGAAAAGGAGCCAGGGACGCCGACCAGGCCCGCAGCAGACCAGCAGGCAGGGAAAGGCAGGGACAGTCAGTGGGCTAAGAAAGCATCCGCCCGGTCAGCCCATTCAGCCTTCCCATCTTAGCCCCGGGCGAGAAGGGGAACCCTGGGTGGAGGGGCCTGCTGCGTTACCGGGATTCACGCCTGGGTGGCTTTTATTTTTAACAAGTTCTACGCCTTCTCTCTTCTGTGTTCCTTTGGGGTCAACAGCCGGCAGAGCTCAGGGGCGGCTGCTCGTACAGGATGTTTGGGGCAACTATAACCTGCCGGGATCAACCTCACACACAGGGGCTGGAGCGATAGCACAGCGGAGAGGGCGTTTGCCTTGCACGCGGCCGACTCGGGTTCAATTCCCAGCATCCCATAGGCTCCCCCGAGCACCGCCAGGAGGAATTCCTGAGTGCGTGAGCCAGGAGTAACCCCTGTGCATCGCCGGGTGTGACCCAAAAGAAACACACACACACACACACACACACACACACAAAGGGTTGAAGCAGTAGGACCGCGTGTAATTCCTGAGTGCAGTCATCTCCAGATATGACCCCAAAACACCAAAAATAAATAAATAAATAAATATCCCAGAAGCTATATGATGGAGCCACATACTGGGACCAACTCCGTCCCTTCTTTTTTGTTTGTCTATTTTGTTTGATTTTTTTTTTTTTTTGTTATTGCTTTTGGGCAGTGCTCAGGGCTGACTCCTGGCTCTGCACTCAGGGATAACTCCTTAGCAGTGCTCAGGGAACCCTGTGGAGTGCTGGATCAAACCCAGGCAGGCCACATGCAAGGCAAGCACCCTCCCACTGTCCTATATGGCTTCAGCCCCTGGATTTCTACCTGATCAGCTTCCTTGTCTCTGGGCTCCGTGTTACATTCATGTCACGGTGCCAGGGTCCGGTGTGGCTACAGTGGCACCCGCTGCCCGCGCTGCCCATTATATCCGCTCCCTAGGGAACCAGTGGGTATAGACTCTTTCGGGTTCCCAATGCGGACAGACTCGGGTTCCCAGAACGGGGCAGGCTGTCTAAGAACTTTTCTTCTCTTTCCTTCTCTGTTTGGGTTTGTTTTGGTGCTTGGGGGCTGCTCGCAGCTCAGTGCTCAGGGGTTGTGCCTCGGTGGTGTTTGAGGAACTCCGTGTTTCTGCGGATGCAGTGGTCTCAGAGCCCTGTCCTTAGCCCTGGGTTTCTTAGTCCAAAAGTGATACCAAGGGGACAGAGCCATAGGACAGTGGGTAGGGTGTTTGTCTTGCACACGGCTGGCCTGGATTTGATCCCCAGCATCCCATAGGGTCCCCCGAGCACCACCAGGAGTGATTTCTGAGCTCAAAGTCGGGAGTAACTCCTGAACATTGCAGGCTTTGACCCAAAAAGCCAAAAAAAAAAAAAACCAGTGATGCTAGGCAGAGGGTACAGCTCCGAGTCTGAGCATTTACGAGAAGTGCCTTTGGGGCTGGTTGGGACACTGTCCCCACCCCTTTCCAGGGGACACCTTCAAAGACCTCTCGCTCTCATGACTGTTGGGGCACATGCGACACGCCAGGGCTGGAGTTCGAACCTGGGGTTTCTCACTGGCCCAAGAGACGGGGTTAAGGTGCTTGCCTCGCTCTCAGCCGGCCCTGGTTTGATCCCCAGTCTCACAGAGGGTCTCCTGAGCACCCACTGGGTGTGGTCCAAACACCTACGAAAAAGCTAGGATTTCGGGGCTGGAGCAATAGCACAGCGGGTAGGGTGTTTGCCGTACACCGGCCAACCCGGGTTTGATTCTCAACATCCTATATGGTCCCCCTGAACACCGCCAGGAGTAATTCCTGAGTGCAGGGCCAGGAGTAACCCCTGAGCATCGACAGGTGTGACACAAAAAGCCAAAAAACAAAAGTAGGATCTCTCTGATACTCAATATTTCCTGTGTTCCTGAGGGAGCCCCAGAGGACTTTGTCCTGGTCCCTCCCCCTGAATGCAGGTTGCTGAGCCTACAGACTTAGCTGTGCTGAGACATTTTTGTTATTACTATTATTAATGGGCTGGAGCAATAGCACAGCGGGTAGGGCATTTGCGTTGCAAGCAGCAACATGGCCGACACAAGTTCGATTCCTCCGCCCGTCTTGGAGAGCTCGGCCAGCTACGGAGAGTATCTTGCCCGCACGGCAAAGCCTGGCAAGCTCCCCATGACGTATTTGATATGCCAGACCCAGTAACAAGTGTCACAATGGAGACGTTACTGGGCCCACTGGAGCAAATCGATGAACAACGGGAGGACAGTGACAGTGACAGTGACTATTGTTAATTTGGTTTCAGGGCCACATCCAGCAGTACCACATTCAGGGAAATCAAAGCGTGTGATCAGCCCCTGGAGTTCTCTCTTCTTCCAGCTACGGTGAGACTTACGAGTACATCAAGCCAGGCTTCTGCGTGGAGTGGGTATTTGGGCTGGGGCCCTGAGGGTTGCCTAGGAGTTTGATGGGAGGCATCAGACTCGGGTATACCAAACAGATCACCCGCGTGCCTCTCTCCCTTCCTGCAGGTGTGCCTGAGCCTGGGCCGGCCGGCCTACCCCACCCACAGCCTCCACCGAATGTGGTGCTGACCCGCCCCCACGCCCCACGCTGATGCCATGAGCCTCAACAACAGTGCTCTGGGGTCTTGCTTCCGGCCAACCAACATCACGCTGGCAGAGCGGCGCCTCATCGCCTCGCCCTGGTTCGCCGCCTCCTTCTGCCTCGTGGGCATGGCCTCCAACCTGCTGGCCCTGAAGGTGCTGGCGGGCGCGCGGCAAGGCAGCTCCTACCCTCGCTCCTCCTTCCTCACCTTCCTCTGCGGCTTAGTGCTCACCGACTTCTTGGGGCTGCTGGTCACCGGGGCCATCGTGGTGTCCCAGCACGCTGTCCTCTTCGACTGGCAGGCCGTGGACCCCCACTGCCGACTCTGCCGCTTCATGGGCGTCGTCATGGTCTTCTTTGGGCTCTGCCCGCTGCTCTTGGGCGCCACCATGGCTTCGGAGCGTTACCTGGGCATCACCCGGCCCTTCTCGCGGCCCGCCCTGGGCTCCCAGCGCCGCGCCTGGGGCACCGTGGGCCTGGTGTGGGCCACGGCGCTGGCGCTGGGTCTGCTGCCGCTGCTGGGCGTGGGGCGCTACACCGTGCAGTTCCCCGGATCCTGGTGTTTCCTCACGCTTGGGCCCGAGCCCGGGGACGTGGCCTTCGGGCTGCTCTTCGTCTTCCTGGGTAGCCTCTCGGTGGGACTGTCGTTCCTGCTCAACACCATCAGCGTGGCCACTCTGTGCCACGTCTACCACGGGCAGGAAGCCGCCCAGCAGCGCCCTCGGGACTGCGAGGTGGAGATGATGGTTCAGCTCACGGGCATCATGGTTGTGGCCAGTATCTGTTGGATGCCGCTGCTGGTGAGTGGCCAGTGGGGCGAGGGGGGAGGGTGCCTGCTGGGGACACTGGTCGGCCTGGTGAATGAGCAGGTTCAGCATCCTGGGAAGCGGCTCCAAGGGTCTACCTGGGGTCTTTTGGAGATTTTTCCAGAAGGGTATTGAAGCTGGAGCTTTGCAGGTTGAATAGGAGTTTTCCTATTGGCCAAAGTAACACGGGCCTTCTAGGCAGAATCACGGAATCATTTTCTGGTGGCCGAGGGCATAGCTGAGATGTAGAACATTTGCCTGGCAGGCATGAAGTTCAGGGCATCATCTCCGGCATCACAAAACATAAAAGTCCTATAACCCAGAGTTAGACAGGTAGTAGAGCGGGTAGTGGGCTTGCCTTACATGCAGCTGACTCTGGTTCCATCTCCAGCATTCCATGATGGCCCCCTGGGCATTGCCAGGAATAATGCCTGATCACAGAGCCAGGAGTAAGCTCTGAGCACTGTCAGCTGTGGCCCCAAAAGAAACAGACCCTCCCGCCCCCTCCAAAAAAATTTTTTTTTTTTTGGTAAAGGGAGAGATCAGAGCCATAGTGCAGCAGGGAGGGCATTTACCTTGCACAAAGCCACCCGGGATTGATTCTGGCACCCCTTAAAATCCTCCCAAATGGGGCTGAAGTGATAGCACAGCAGGTATGGCGTTTGTCTTGCATACCGCTGACCCGGGTTCGATTCCCAGCATCCCATAGGGTCCCCCAAGCACTGCCAGGAGTAATTCCTGAGTGCAGAACCAGGAGTTAACCCCTGTGCATCGCCGGGTGTGGCCCAAAAAGAAAAAAAAATCCTCACAAACCCCGCTAAGGAGGGGTCCCTGAGCCCAGAGCCAGGAGTAACCCCAGGTGTGAGTGACCCCAAAAACGGAAAAAATAATGGTTTGCCAAATAGAAGTGGCCGAAGCTGGCGTGCCCGCGGGGTCGCTCAGCTCAGCTGGGGCTGGGCAGCTGCGTCCCCACCGACCCCTGCGCCAGCGCAGTGCCCGGGGTGCGAGCCGGGCCGCGGCGGGGCGGGGGTGGGAGGGTGCGGACCCGCCCCCCTCACTCTGTCCCCGCTCGCAGGTGTTCATCGCGCAGACGGTGCTGCAGACCCCGCCGGCTATGAGCCCCAGCGGGCAGCTGTCGCGGGCCACCGAGAAGCAGCTGCTCATCTACCTGCGCGTGGCCACGTGGAACCAGATCCTGGACCCCTGGGTGTACATCCTGTTCCGACGCGCCGTGCTGCGGCGTCTACACCCGCGCGCCAGCGCCCGGGCGCGCGCTCTGTCCCTGCAGCCACAGCTGTCGCCCCGGGGCCGGGGACCGTAGGGCCGGGGCGCCCCGAGCGCACCCGCGGGACCCAGCGCGCTCATGCACCAAGGTCCCCTCGGGAGCTCCCGAGCGAAGGACGGACGCGGGCTCTGCACCTCCCTGAGCCCCGGGGGACCCCAAACTCTTCCCAGATCCGTTCCCTCCTTTCCAACGTCGCTTCCTCTTCGGGAACCCCAGCGAAACCCCAGGAACGGAGGGTTGGGGGTGTTGAGAAACGAGATTTAGACGCAGAGAATGAGAAGTTTCTAGAAATCCTCAAAAAAGAGGGGGGCTCCCTTTGAGCCTGAATGGGTCCTATTCACTGGAGGTCAGGGGGTCCCCTGGAAAATTTCAACCCTAGGGGGTAGAGAGATAGGACAGCTGGGAGGGCTCTCGCCTTGCAAGTGGCTGACCTGACTCCTGTCCCCCACCCATGCCAGGAGTCACCCCTGAGTGCAGAGCCAGGAGGAAGCCCTGAGTACTGCCCGGTGGGACTGCCACTTTTTTTTCTTTGTTTATTTGTTTGGGGTGCTCAGTGCTCAGGGGTTACTCCTGCCTCTGCCCTCAGGGATCACTCCTGGCAGACTTGGGGAGGGGGCGGGGACCCAGGCCATCCGAATGCAAATCAAGACCCTCCCTGCTGTACTATCTCTCTGGCTCCTCCCAATTTTTCTTTTTTTTTTTAATTTTCATTTTACAGTTTTTTTTTCTTTTTGGGTCACACCCAGCGATGCACAGGGATTACTCCTGGCTCAAGCATTCAGGAATTAACTCCTGGCAGTGCTCGTGGGACCATGTGGGATGCTGGGAATCAAACCCGGGTGGGCCATGTGCAAGCCAAACACCCTGCCTGCTGTGCTATCGCTCCAGGCCCCTCATTTTACAGTTTTTCATCAAGTTGTATATAACTTTATTCCTGCATCTTCTCAAGTGTTCCTTCCTTCTATTTGCCCTTTTCCTTGGTGAGACTTGGCTTTGCGGTCAAGGACCTTTTTGCGATCTTTGTCCAGTTTTAGTCTGGTGATAACCAGCTTACTGGGGTGAATGCCCACATGGATGGTTGGGCCATTTGCATTCTCCCACTGGACTCGTTCAATGTAGATGGCATATTTCTTTCTGTAAACCTGGAATACTTTGCCAATTTGCTGACCTTTGTAGTGTCTTCTCACAACCTGACCCTCATCGTCCTTCCAGGTGGGCATGGATCGCACATTGTACTTCTGTCTCAGCTCAGTTACCACTCCAGCGATGGCTGCAGAAGGGGAAAAAAAAGTCCCCCGAATTTTTCTTTAAAAATTAGAATAGGGGCTGGAGAGATAGCACAGTGGGTAGGGCGTTTGCCTTGCACGCAGCCGATCCGGGCTCGATTCCCAGCATCCCATGTGGTCCCCTGAGCACCACCAGGAGTAACTCCTGAGTGCGGAGCCAGGAGTAACCCCTGTGCATCACTGGGTGTGACCCAAAAAGCAAAAAAATAAATAAAATAAAATATAAAAATTAGAATAATGAAAATTCTGACCAAAGAAAGCTCAGTCTGAGGAAGTTGAATGTGAAAGTCGGGGAAACAATCCCACTGGTTGTGTGGACAGGAACCCCAAGTCTCATCCCTGCCAGTACCGCTGGGAGCCACCTGTACACCACAAGGTGTGACCCCAAAACAAAAGCAACAAAGAAAAAGAACCGTGAATGTGCAGGATACTCCCCTTTTTTATATGAAGCTTATTTATTTATTCATTTATTTATTTTTTTGCTTTTTTGGGTCACACCCAGCGATGCACAGGGGCTATTCCTGGTTCATGCACTCAGGAATTACTCCTGGCTATGCTTGAGGGACTATACGGGATGCTGGGAATCGAACACGGGTCAGGCCGCGTGCAAGGCAAATGCCCAACCCTCTGTGCTATCACTCCAGCCCCCCTTTTGTTTTTTTAAATTTTGGGCCACACTGGCAGTGCTCAGGGCTGACACCTGGCTCTGCACTCAGGGACCACTCCTGGTGGGCACTCAGTATGACGTGCCTCCCTCCAGTCCTGGATAACCCCCTCTCTGACCCCTCTCAGATCCAAATATCTTTTCAGGCCCATCTCCTGGGCTTGAGACCCTGTGACCTTGGGGTGACCTTGAGCAGGCTGTGCATGCTCCACTGTGGGAACAGCGCCCCACCCCACCCCCCAACCCCCAGCCGCTCAATAAAGCTGATCGGGCATGTGGGCCAATTGGGGTGTCTCAATTTTCCTTCTCTTTTCCTTTTTCGGGGGGGGGTGCTCTGGGCTGAGTCCTGGCTCTGTGTTCAGGAATCACCCCTGTCAAGGTTTAGGGGTCCCTATAGGAAGCCAAGGATTGAACCTGGGTCGACCGCGTGCTAGGCGAGCACCCTCCCCGCTGTGCTATGGCGGAGGCCGGCATGTCAGAGTTCATGAAGCTGCTTTGTAGCGAGGGTCCAAGGGCCACTCACGCTCAGCAGGGCACACAGCAGGTCAGGCGTGAGCAGCCTGCCAGCGCCTCCACACCACCCTCCCGCTCAGTGCCCCCCAAAGCAACACCCAGGAAGTCGGTGGCAGGTGCCTTTATTGCCAGCAAGCCCTACAGGTGCATGAGAAAGCCCACCCCTTCTTCCATACCCCGCCCCCGTCCCCCCACCTCCATAGATCAGCTTACAGGGCCCGGAGCCAGGTCCGGGGAACCAAACTCCTGTTTCCATTCTGCCACTCTAGGGGGGAATGAGGTTACCAGCTGCAGGAGGGAACATGGGGTCACATGGCCCCAAACTATGGCCCCCTGTGGGGGGGTGCAGGTCCCTGCATTGGGGGTTCTGGGATCTGGGGGCGCAGGAGGGATGCCTTCCGGCCAGAAGTAAGGATGACAGAGGAAGCTGCTGGGGGCTTCTGGGGTCCCAGCTGGGGCTTGGGGGACAGAGCTGGCTTTAGGGGGGCTGTGGGGGTCTGAGGCTGAGGGCCCAGATGGGGAGCTGGGAGACTGGCCTGGGGTCCGTGCATTGTCAGATCACGGTGCTGCGACCCGGATTCTCTGCTGGGGACCAGGGTCCCCCCGGGGCTGAGGGCTGGGGAGGGGAATTGGGGTGCAGGGGAGGAGCTGAGGTCCAGGCCAGCCGTCTGTGAACGGGGTCCCTTTCTAGAATCAGGCTGGGTGCTGGAGCTGGGCTGGGGGTGAGACACGGGCAGATTGGGGGGCCAGGGCAGGGCCTCAGGGCGGCCGGGGCGCGCCTCAACGCTAAGCTGGGCTCCAGGGCCGGCTTGGACCCTGGCACTGATCTGAAACACGGAGCTGCCTGGGGGTCCAGCAACGCTGCGGGTTTCGAGGTGCGTCTGGATCCTGGTACTGGGCTGGGCCCCGGGGCGGGGCTGTGTCTCAGGGTGGAGCCTGGCGGAGCCGCTGGCCTTGATCCCAGAGCTGAGCTGGGTCCCGGCACTCGGTTGAATTCCTGGTCGGATCAGCATCTCAGAGCTGAGCCGCAACCCAGACCCTGGCGGGCTGCCAGGGCTCAGGGCGGGCTCCGAGCCGGCCCCCCGCATGCTCGCGCTGGGCTGCCCTTGGGAGCTGCCCTCGGCTTTAGGAACAAGCTGCATCTCATGCTTGCTTGGCTTGCCTGGCTCTGGCCGGGGACCAGAGTCGCATTGGGCTGTGGCCTGGGACTGGAGATCGGGACCAAGCACCCCGGGAGGGTTTGGGGCCGCCTCTGAGCAGGGCGGGGGCCCTGGGTGGCGTCTGTCCTCAGACCCAGGGCCCGCTGTGGAGGTCTGGGAGCTGGCTGGGATGTGAGCACTCGTCTGGGCTCCAGGACGGAGTGGATTTCGGAAACTGGCAGGAGCGTCCGAAGGAGCCCTGAGACTCAGCCAGGCCGCAGGCGCGCCAGAGTCTGACTGTGGCTGGGTGCTGGGAGCGCTGGGCTCCCTGGATGCCTGAGCCCTGGAGTCCGGCCTGGCTGCAGAGTGGGATGGAGTTCCAGAAGGGCCCTGAATCGGGGACACAGATGTGACAGCAGCGCTGGGCCGAAGAACAAAGGGGGCCGGAGTGCCAGGCTGGGCATTGGCCCCTGAGGGCTGTGGGCCAGGGCTGGGCTGGGTGGTCACCTGTGTTGGGCTGTCGGCATGAGTCTGTGGGTGTGGACAGGGCTGGGTTTGGAGGCCGTCTTGGAACCCTGAGCTGCCTTGGTCGCTCACCGGGGTGCCCGGAGGAACTGGCCTTCCTGGGCTGGATGGGGGTCCCCAGGGCGGCAGGGGTGAGGGGATGCTTGGGGATACAGCATGGGTGAGAGAGTCAGGGGAGGACTCGGTCTTAAAGCCCGGGCCCCTTCCTGAGCTGGGCGTGAGCATGGGGGCTGTGGAATCCAGCTCGGCTGCAGAGTTGCTGGGGGCCCGGGCCCGGGAGCGGGGCAGGGTCTCCAGGCGAGACTGGGGCCCAGCGAGGAATCTGGTCTCCGAGCTCAACTGGGTTCTAGAGCTGGGCTTGTTCTCAGAGCTGGGCTGGAATCTAGAACCAGGCTTCTGGGAACTGGGCTGGGCTCGAGAGCCAGGCAGGGTCTCGGTGGGGGCCTGGGTTCTAGAGCCGGGTTTTGTCTCCAAGCTGGGTTGGAGTCTAGAACCAGGCCGGTCAGAGAGGGCCTGGGTTCTAGGGCCGGTCTTGATCTCAGAGCCAGCCTGGGTTCTAGAACCAGGTGTGGTCTCAGAGCAGGGCTGTATTCTAGAGCTGGGCTTGGTCTCAGCACTGGATTGGGTTCTAGAACTGGGTCTGGTCTCAGCATCAGGCTGGGTTCTAGAACTTGGTTTGGGCTCAGAACTGCGTTGGGGCTCAGTGCCGGGCTGGGTTCTAGAGCAGGGCTTGGTCTCAGCACCAGGCTCTGTTCTAGAACTGGGCTTGCTCTCAGCTCCAGTCTGGGTTCTAGAACTTGGTTTGGTCTCAGTGCCAGGCTGGGTTCTAGAACTGGGTCTGGTCTCAGTGACAAGCTGGGTTCTAGAGCAGGGCTTGGTCTCAGCACCAGGCTCCGTTCTAGAGCTGGGCTTGCTCTCAGCTTCAGGCTGGGTTCTAGAACTTGGTTTGGTCTCAGTGCCAGGCTGGGTTCTAGAACTGGGTCTGGTCTCAGTGCCAAGCTGGGTTCTAGAGCAGGGCTTGGTCTCAGCAGCAGGCTCTGTTCTAGAGCTGGGCTTGGTCTCAGCTCCGGGCTGGGTCCTAGAACTTGGTTTGGTCTCGGTACTGGGCTGGGTTCTAGAGCAGGGTTTGGTGTCAGAACCAGGCTGGGTTTTAGAGCTCGGCTTGGTCTCAACTCCGGGCTGGGTTCTAGAACTGGGTTTGGTCTCAGTGCCAGTCTGGGTTCTAGAGCTGGGCTTGATCTCAGTGCCAGTCCGGGTTCCAGAACCAGGTTTAATCTCAGTGCTGGACTGCATTCTAGAATTGGGCTTGGTCTCCGAGCCGTACTGGGTCCTAGAACCGGGCTTGGAACCAGGTTTGGGGGACCGGCGCTCAGAGCTGGGACACGCAGTGGAGATGAACTCCCGATGGGCACTGGCCTGGCCTCTAGAACAGGGCCTGGCCTCGGTGCGCTCCTGGGTTCTAGAGCAGGGCTGGCTCCGAGAGCTGGGTTGAGTCTCGGGACCCAAGGGGCCCGGGGAGGCCGACTGAACCTCGGAGCGGCCCCGGGCTGGAGAGGGCGGCTGGCGCGGGGCGCGGGGCTGAGGGCCGGGTGGGGGCGGGGAGGGCCGGGGTTCGGGGCTGGGGCTCCGCGAGGCGCCGGGGCACGCTAGCCACAGGCGTCCCGGGCCTCGCCGATGGCGGCCCACACCTCCACCACAAACTCGTCCGGGAAGGCGAACTCGCCCACGACGGCGTCTAGGCTGCGCGCAAAGTCCTGGACGCCCGCGGTCTTCTTGGACATCTCCACCATGGTGGACGCTGCGGGCCAAGGGGCAGCGAGTGCATGCGAGGCTCGGGGGTACGCAGCCTCCACCCCAGGGGGATGCCTCCCCCAGGGTCCACCCAGCTTACCCTGGCCCCTTACCCAGCTCCGGGTCCCGGATGCCCATGTAACTCTCTAGGAGATCGTCCACCTTCCGAGACGCCTCCTCCTCGAACTCGCTGGGCTTAGGGGAGAAAGCATCAGGGGTCTTGGGTGTATCCATCCCAGCTCTCCGACCACAACCCCCCACCCCCCGCTACACCACACACACACACACCCTTTAGGAAAAAGGAGGCTCAAATTCAGGCTCCTGGGGCGCCCATTGTACAGCTGGGAAGACTGAGGCTGGGGAAATGATGCCTTGCCGAGATCACTGGGAGGCAGCCGTCAGGACCCCCCACTCGAAGGATCCCCCACTCACTCACCACCTCCTCCACGGTTGCGGGCCCCCCAGAGCGCAGGCGCAGGGTCGCTCTACCACTGCTCACTTTGCCTTCCATGGAGCACTTGCCGCTTCGGCTCCTCTGACTGATCAGATCTGGGACACAGCGTGGAGCACGTGGTCTGGGCGGGGCCACGTGCTTTTTTTTTCATTATTGATTGGGGGGGTCATACTGGGCAGTGCTCAGGGCTGACTCCTGGTTCTGTGCGCAGGAGTCACTCCTGGCAGGTTCGGGGGACCCTGGAGGTGCTGGGGATGCGACCTGGGTCACCCGTTTGCACGTCAGCGCACTCCCGCTGGCCCGTCCTCTGGGGTCTTTATCTGGGGACCACACCCAGCTTGGGGTACTCCCCAGCCCCCAAAGGAAAAGCACGTTCTCCAGTTTGGAGCGGCCTAATGCACGTTCCTAAACACTGCAGGGAACCTTTCTAGAACCTTCTTTTTTGTTGTTTTTGGGCCACACTTTGTGCTCAGGGCTGACTCCTGGCTCTGTGCTCAGGGATCACTCCTGGTTGGCTCAGGGGGTCCCATGGGGTGCCAGGCATCAAACCAGGATTATCCACATGCCAGGCAAGTGCCCTGTCTGATCACTCTGGGCTCATGCCAAATCTTCTGTTTGTATGTGTTGTTTTGGGGTCACACCCTATGGTGCTCGTGGGTTGCTCTGGCTCAGCACTCAGAAATCACTCCTGGCGGGGTTTGGGGGACCCTATGGAGTGCCAGGGATTGAACCTGGGTCACTGCATTTAAAGCAAATGCCCTCCCCAGTGAACTATCGCTTCGGTCCCTCATCTAGAACCTTCTTACCCTTCAAAGACCAACACGGGTGCTCTACTCGGATTTACCTGCACCCCACCTGCGGGGGCTTCCTCATGCCTTTATTTCTAAGCACCCTACCTGGGGACAGCTCTGTGACTGTGTCCTTTAGGGATTGAACTTCCTTTACTCTTGACTGTTCTTTCATTTCCTTTTTAGAGAATCCCACAGTCTCCTTCAACTGAGATTCCTCCCTCAATGAAACTTTGCTACTTCACTTCAAAAACAAACATAGGGGTGGGGGCAGAGTGATAGTCCAGCAAGGAGGGCATTTGCCTTGCACGCATCCAACCCAGGTTCAATCCCCGACGTCCTACATGGCTCCCACCCCCCATCACCAGCAGGAGTAACCCCTGAGCATCTCTGGATGTGACTCAAAAAAAGGCCATGGGGGGGGCTGGAGCGATAGGACAGTAGGGAAGGGTGCTTGTCTTGCATGCGGCCGACCCAGGTTCAATCTCTGGCACCATATACGGTCCCCTGGGCACCACCAATGATCCCTGAGCATCGCAAGGTGTGCCCTACCACCCCCCAAGAGAATCACATGGTACAGAGAGCTCTAGGGTGGAACCCCAGCTCTGTCACTGAGTGGGCACCCAAGCACCACTGAGTGTGGCCCCAAAACCAAAAGAAGGGAAAAAAATTTCATTGGGCTGGAGAGAAAGTGCATAGGGGAGGACCTTTGTCTTGTACGCAGCCAACTCAAGCTTAATCTCCGGCATCTCATAGGGTCCTCGAGCACTTCCAGGAGTGATCCCTGAGTGCAGAACCTTGAGCTTGCTAGGTGTGCCCCCAAACCCCCACCCCTCACCAAAGCAAACATTTACAGAGGGAAGGGGGGAAGGGAAGAATCAAAAGAAATTAAAAAGAACAGCTAGGGGCCAGACAGAGTCCAGTGGGTGATGCGCTTGCCTGGTGTGTGACTGTCACAGATTCAAATCCCCAGAAGTACATATGGTCCCCCAAGCCTCATCAGGGGTCACTCCTGAGCTCAGAGCCAGCCAGAGTCCCTGAGCACCCAATGCTGGGTGTACCCCCCAAAAAAGGGGGAGGGAGGGAGGGACTGGAGCAATAGTACAGCAGGTAGAGCGTTTGCCTTGCACACAACTGACCCAGGTTTGATTCCCAGCATCCCATATGGTTCCCCGAGCACCACCAGGAGTGATTCCTGAGTGCAGAGCCAGGAGTAACCCCTGTGCATCGCTGGGTGTGACACAAAATGCAAGAAAAAAATGCATCTAGAGGGGCCCAACCCATAGCACAGTGGGGAGGGCACTCGCCTTGTTCGCACCAACCCGCCCTGGCATCCTTGAACCTGTCATAACTGATTCCTGAGCACAGAACCAGGAGTAATCCCTGAGCATCAGGGTGTTCTCCCCGCCCCACTAAAAAGAAACACACTTAGAGGGGCCCAAGGGATAGCACAGTGGTAGGGCACTTGCCTTGCATGCAGTTGACCTGGGCTTGTTACCCTGGGATCTCACAGGGTCTCCCTGAGCACTGCCAGGAGTGATCCCTGAGCACAGAACCAGGAGTCAGCCCTGAGCACTGCTGGTGTGGCTCAAAAAAAAAAAAACAAAAACCAGCCCAATGGAACATAAAGCACGGAGAAGGGGCAGGAGGAGTAGCAGAGTGGGGAGAGCTCTTGCCTTACACACAGCTGACCCAGGCTTGATCCCGGGCCATGCCACGTGGTCCCCTGAGTTCTCAGGAGTGATCCTTGAACGCAGAGTCAGGAGTGAGCCCTGAGCATCGTCGGATGTGGCAAAAGAAAAAAAAAAGAGCATCTGGGACCTTCCACCCCACCCTCACTCTTAAGCCCTCACCGAAAGCCCTTTTGGGCTGCACCAGGCGCAACGTGAAGGGCTCCGACTTGGGCAGTTCCCGCAGCATCTTGGCCACCTCGTAGTGGCGGCAGCCCACGATCGAGTGGTCGTTGATGGCCTCAATGGTGTCCCCCACGCAAACTGCCTCGATGCGGTTGATGATGCTGCCCTCTTTGATCCTCTGCCGGGAGGGAAGCGGGGGCGGGGTCACTACCCAGGTAGGCCCCGCCCCGCCCGAGGCACCTTGCCCGTTCGATGACACGCCCTGGCCACGCCCGGCCACGCCCTCCGCCACGTGCACCTTGATGAAGGCGTAGCCTGCCCCGTTGTCTGTGATGGTCAGGCCCAGCGCGTCCTCAGTCTTGGTCACCTCCACCTCCTTGGTCTCGCCGCGCACGTGCGCGAAGATGAAATCCTCCAAACCTATCTGGCCGCCCAGAAGCTTCTGCATGTCCACCTTGTGGCTATTCAAGGTACAGAACAAAATCTGCTCCCCCGGGGAAGGGAGAGGGGTGCAGTGAGCCCCAGTCAGAGGCAGGGACCCCGGGGGCGGGCAGACGGTGGAGCGGGGGAGCCCATAATGCGGAGCAGGGGGTACAAGGAGGTGATGAGCCAAAGGAGACCCTCTGCCCCCACCACCTGGGTCAGATGAGTCCTTCCCTTCTCTTCCCCTGCCCCCACCCAGTAATTCTCAAAAGTAAGGCTCTGTGCTCAGGGGTCACTCCTTTCGGGGTTCAGAGAATCCTACAGGGTGCTGGGACCCAGGGACCCAACTGGTTGGCTTCCCGTGAGCCAAGTGCCCTCAAGGCCAGCGGACTGCCCTATCTCTTGGGTCGCCCCCACCAAGGACCACTTTTGTAGTGTTGGGGGCCATATGCCCCGCTCAGGTCTGACTCCTGGTTCTGAGCTCAGGAAGTACTTCTGGTGGGATTCAGGTGGCCCTCTGCGGCACCGGAGATCAAACCTGGGTGGGTGACCACTTTGCACCCTGCGGACACCCCCCACCCACCCGGCCCTGCCTAGCGGGCGTTGGGCCCTCTGGCGCCCCCTGGAGGCCGCGAGGCGCGTGGCCCTGCGGCCGGCCCTGACCCCTCTGACTTCTCACCTCCAGGGGGGCCGCCTGCAGCGCCAGCCTCTGCGCGCGCTCGGGAAGCATCGGGAGGGGGGGTGGCGGCGCTTCCCCGGAACTGGGGTCCACCCCGAGCGGAGTAAGAGGACTGAATTCCAGGGCGAGCAAGTAGGGATTCCCCGGAGCCCTAAACTGGCTCATCTCGCGCGCGCGCGGCGCTGGCATCCGGGGGGATGAGCACCCCGGGGTCGGGGAGGGCCGTCTCCGGGATTCAGAAGCCTTCGGGGGGCCCTTCCTTTGCCCAGGAACGGGGGTCCCCGTCTAAGTGGCGGTTCGGGCTCCACCTCTCCCCCACACCCCCGTCCCCGCTTGGCCCCGGCTCGGTGCTGGGCATGGGCCTGGGCGCCGGACTGGGGGCGCTGGGGTGGGGCTGGGGTGGGGGGCGCTCACCTCGGTGGGCGCGATCCCGAAGGCCTCGGCGATCTTGGCGTAGAGCTCGCGGACGTTGGTGAACCCCTCGATCTTGCCCGTGGGGCTGCCGTGCGCCAGCTGCGCGCGGAAGACGAGGCGCGGGCGCACGCGGGGCGCGGCGGGGGGCTCGGCGGGCTCGGCCGGGGGCGCCGACGGGCGCGGGGCTTCGGCCCCCTGGGCCTCGCGGGCCGCCGCTGCGCTCGCCATGGCCAGAGGGGGGTGGGGTGGGGGGAAGTTCGGCCACCGGGTCCCCGTCGCCGCGGCCGCCGCCGGATCCGCCGCTTCCTGGAGCCTCCCCTCCCCCGGCCCAGGGCGCCTGGACAGCCGGGTAAGGGGATCCGGGAACCCGAGCCTCCCGGGAAGGCGACACCGCGAGGTGCGGGCGGGAAGGAGGAGGGGGCGGGTGGGGGCCGAGCCCCAGGTGGCCGGGCCCTGCCTGCCAGGGCCAGCTGCGCGCTCCCTCGGGGACGCCTGGTGGTCCGCTGGGGCTGAGGTGCAGCCCGAAACAAGGGCCACCACGGCGAGGGAGCGAGTGCGGGGATGGGGTCCCCCCCACATCCTGCCCTGCAGAGGCAGCACTAGACTCCGGGAGGATCTTGGGCTCTGGACCCTCTTCTCTCCTCCAACCCCAAAGGCCTCCAGGCTGGTCCCCCGGCAGGACCCGGCCTGCCCCAGGGCCTTTGCACGGGTGCTCTGGCTTAGAGCACTTTCTTCCAGGGAATGCGGAAGGATAGTACAGCAGGGAGGGCACTGGCCTTGCATGTGGCTGACCTGGGTTCAATCCTCAGCATCCTATAGGGTCCCCTTGAGCCCTGCCAGAAGTGATCCCTGAGTGCAGATCCAGGAGTGAGCCCTGAGTGCTAGCAGGGTGCGGCCCAAAATGGAACAAAAAGCGCCTTCTTTCAGAGCGCCATCCTTTCCTGGGCTCTTGGCTCAGAGGTCCATCTCTCCACATCAATTAAGCTCCCCTTCCGCCCGCCAGCATTTAGCACCTCCCGACCTAGGGACTATTTTACAGACTCAGCCTGGGGAGGGAAATGCCCCCATTTCAGACAGACTAACCCAGGAAGCAGGGGCCGCCCAGGGCCAGCGGGGACTCGGTGACATAATGAAACCCTGGAGCGCATTCAAGGTGTCCTGGGGGTGTCACCAATCTTGTTTTATGACCCAGGAACAGACTCCAAATGCGCTCGTGTTTTTGAGGTGGTCCAGATCCTGCTTGGCAAAGATTGTTTCTGCTTCTGCACGCTCCTGCCAGCGGCCGGTAAAGGTTCCGTCCTCCAAGGATGTTCTAGAACACAGAGCCCTCGCCTTGGTTTGCAGACAAGCTCTGCTGAGTACTGCGGGCATAATTAAAGCTGAGTTCTCTCACTTTTCAGAGTGTACCCCTGGGATTTTCATGGCTTGGGAAGAATTTCTGAACAGGGGTCAGGGCGATAGTCCAGTGTGGGGGCTTGGGTGGTGTTGGCCTTACATGTTGCCAACCTGGGTTTATCCCCAGCATCCCATGAGCCCCACCAGGAGTGAACCCTGAGTGCAGAGCCAGGGATGAACCCTGAGAACAGCCAGATGTAGCCCCAAAAAGAAGGCGCATTTCCCCCCCCCCAAAAAAAAACAAAATAATTTTCACGCACGACCATCTCCTGTCCCATCTATGCCCTCCATTTGGAGTGCCTCACCCAGACAAGATTCTGTGTTCACTGCCTGACCCGCCATCCCCCCAGACCTGGTCCTCAGCAGGAGCAAGATTAAGGCAGGTCAGGCATGGACCCTCAGATGCTGAGGTCAGAGCAGAGGCCGGCAGGAGGGCTGGGGAGAGGCTCAAAGATTAGAACACACAAAAGATTTGCACATGGGGGGCCCAGGCTCAGTCCTAGGGACCTATGGTCACCCCCACCCCTACCACTGCAGGAGAGACCCGTGGGCACCGCTGGCTCTAACCCCAAAATGATTGTTTTTGTTTGTTTGGGAGTCATACCCGGCAGTGCTCAAGGGCTCACTCCTGGCTCTGCCCTCAAGGATCACTCCTGGTGGCCTCGGGGGACCCTCATGGGATGCTGGGATCGAACTCCGGGTCGGCCACATGCAAGGCCAGTGACCTCCTCAACTGTACTATTGCTCTGACGCCCACAAAATAATTTAGTAAAGAACAGTCCTATAGAAAAAGAGAGTGCCAGGTTTCCACCAGCTTGACCTCGGGCTCACCTCCCATGGAAGGGGAGGGACCAGGGAGGGTGGGGCGGGGCCAGAGAAAAGGGCGGGGTCAGAGAAAAGGGCGGGGCCAGAGAGGAGGGGCGGGGCCAGGGAAATCAGGGAGAGGGGGTGCCAGAGAGGCCTCCCCAGGAAGGAGGATGCAAAAGTGCCTGGGAGGGTCCGGAGAGAGAGTGCAAGCAGGTTAGGGCACTTGCTCTGCACCCAGTATCCCATATGGTCCCCTAGGCACTGCCAGGACTGATCCCTGAGTGCAGAGCCAGGAGTAACCCTTGAGCATTGCTGAGTGTGGCCCCAAAGACAAAACAACAACAAATAAAAGTCTGGAAGCCGCTGGAGCGACAGCACACGGGTAGGGGGTTTGCCTTGCACGCGACCGATCCGCGTTTGATTCCCAGCATCTCATAGGGTCCCCCAGCACAGCCAGGGGTAATTCCTCAGTGCATGAGCCAGGAGTAATCCCTGTGAAACGCCGGGTGTGATTCAAAAAATAAAAAAAGCCTGGAAGCCGTGCAAAGTGAGACACTCCCTGCCCCCCCCCCCACATACACACATGCACACACTTGCATCCTGTTCCACGTGGACACCCCTGAAACCCAGAACACTCAGGGATTGAACCAGATCCCCAAGACCCCCAGGGTGAGTTCCCAGGGATGAAAATGTCCAGAAGAGGAATGTTCTGGAATGAGAGGGTGCCAACAATGCACGACATCATACACTTTACCACCTTTAAAGTGTAAACTAAGGGGCTCAAAGGGCTGTAATGCATTCTGAGGATGCTCAAGGCCCTGAGTTTGATCCTGAGGGCTGGAGCAATAGCACAGCGGTAGGGCGTTTGCCTTGCACGCAGCCAACATGGCCGACCCGAGTTCGATTCCTCCGCCCCTCTTGGAGAGCCCGGCAAGCTACCGAGAGTATCTCGCCCGCACGGCAGAGCCTGGCAAGCTCCCTGTGCTGTATTCGATATGCCAAACACAGTAACAAGAAGTCTCATGATGGAGATGTTACTGGGCCCACACGAGCAAATCGATGATCAATGGGAGGGTCTTTACTTTACTTTACCCAGTCATTGCCCTCCAAGAATGGCTGGGATAGCCCTGGAGGCCACCAGCCCCTGTCGCATCACTGGGCCTGAGCCCCGCCAGGAGTAAACCCTGAGCACCCTCGGGTATGGCCCAAGCCCCCCCACCCCTCAAATAACCTGGGCGCTCATCTCCTAGGTTAGCTGAAAACTGCAGTTGTCTTTGTTCCCAGCAAAGAAATAGACCTCAGAAGTTAGTCTGTGGTCAGCCCTGCAGCCCGACTCTGAATGTCTGTTCCTGCCTCCTTTAGCTTCTCCCTAGGTGGGGTGGGGGCGGGGGGCGGCTGGCAGGGCCCTGGCATTGGCCTGTCCCCGCTCGTCCCCTCGCCTTCTCCCCTGTGTCCACTTCTGGTCCAAACACAGACTTCCTCTAAGGACACCAGCAGGCTGGAATGGGGGCCCGCCCTGCCCACGGGTGATGTCATCTCGACTAATTATATCTACAAAGACCCTAACTCCAAATAAGGTCACGTTGTTCTGCCGTCTGGAGAGGACTGGGACATATCTCTTGAGGGACATAATTCAACCTGGCCAACAGACAGGCAGGCATTTATCAAAGCTTTCTGGATGCCTCCAGTAAACAGATGCCTCAGCGAGGATGTCCCACATGGGCCAAGTGGAAGACAGGGGCGGGGGGTGGGGGGAGGGCGATCATCGTCTGCATTCTTGTAGATGCACCCCTGATTAAAGGACCAAGGCTTCAGGCTTCCACAGACGGGGCCACGCCACACGGGGGCTGGGGAGAGAGAGAGCACAGTAGACCCGGATTCCTGAGCCAGGGCTAAGCCTTGAGCACCAGGAGTGTGGCCCCAAGAATCTCTCCCACGAAAACAAACAAACAAAAAACCCTGCCCACGCCAGGGATGGTTCGATGGGCTTTGCATGCAGGAGGCCCAGGCCGTGGCCTGCTGAGCACTGAGAGCACCTCCGTTGTGGACCAAGCCTGGAGTGGTCACAAAACAAATGAAAGAAGTAAACAAACGGGGGGCTGGGTGTGGAGTCGTAGTAGGGGTAGAGCCCCTGCCTTGTATCTGTGAGGCTGGCCAAGAAACCCAAAACAACAAAGAAAACTAAAATCCCTGAATGGTTCAGGGCCTGAGACGGCTCCACAAACAGGTTGGGGCATTTGCTTTGCAAAGGGCCAGAGTTTTTTTGGTGCGTGTGGGCTCAACCAACGGTGCTCACCGCCTGAGCTCTTGCTCTGGCCCCAAGAGGCTGAGGGTTTGTTTGTTGGTTTTGGCCATACCCGACACTGCTCAGGGTTTACTCTTGGTTCTGAGTCACTCCTGGCAGTGCTGTGGATGGGGATGGGGTGTTTGTGGGAGGGCCTTAAGGGGAGCAGGGATTGAACCCAGGTCTCCTGTGCTCAAGGCAAGGGATCTCCCAGTACCATTTCCGGCCACAAGAGGCCCAGGCCTGCAAGGGCTCCTGAGGACTGCTGGGCATGTCATCCCAAATCCAATATGCCAAAACCTGTACACACGGGTTCACAGAGGCCAAAAGGCAGGAGGAGGCACCCAGGCCAGTCATCAGGGATGAGGGGCCAGGGTGATGTGGAAAGGGGGAGGGTTGGGATGAGGTTTCACCCACTGGAGGTTTTTGCGGGGCTACACCTGGTGATGCTCAGTGCTGACTCCTGACTCTGTGCTCAAGGATCACTTTGGGCAGGGCTCCGGGGACCTTATGGAATGCAGAGGATTGAACCTGGGTCACTTGTATGCAAGACAGCACACTCCGCACTGTATTATCTTTCCAGCCCCCCTGCTGGAGTTTTGGTCCCAAGAGCACCCCTCCCCGTTGGCAGTAGGTGCACAGCTCAATGTGTTTTTTGGGGGACCCCACTCTGGACGCTCTTGAGCTGATGGGGAGGCAGCCCTGACGGGCAACCAGTGGATAACCCTGGAGCCCGCCCCCG